TAACACACGAAAGGACTCTAAAAGTACACTTCTGTGGGCAGAAAAACACAAAGATTTTCTGGCACCAATCAGATGGCAGAACGACTGCGACCGTTTGGAACTAGTCTTGTAAGACAATGTCCCCAGGGGCTCTTCATGCCCTAACTTCGACCCACAGCCCCTGGGTCTCCGAGGATGTATAAATACAAGCTCGCCCAAAGTTAAGATAATTGCAGCCGTTGATGAAATTGTTGAAAAGCTCTGTAAAAAATGCATATGGAGGAAGCAGCGAACCTTATTTCTGCTATTCAGCAAACGTTAACTGACATCGACTTAGTTGTAGTAAACGTGAATGAAGGCTGTAGTCGAACCATTTTTCATATTGAAGCTGCGGCCCAAAGACTCTTGCGATCCATTACGGATCACCGAAATAAGCTGGTTTCGAATGTCTGCGAAATCACTGAAGCGAAATTGCACGCGTTGCAAGCCGAATAGGACATTGTACAGGAGAATTTCAGAGCTCTAGAGCATGTGCTCCGCTTCGCCCAGAATACCAAAACAGTCGAGGATTCGACTGAATGGGACAACGCTTTGTGAAAGCCCCTACATGACCTAAATGAATTGGTGTTTGATTTCCAGGATTACGACGAAGATTTGGAATTCCACTTCTTGTACCGTGATGAAACTCTCTTGGCGGCAATTTGCAACTTCGGAGATGTTTTCACGCTTGCAAATGAAGGAGACTCTAAAATACCAAGTCGTGATGCTAAGGCTGTTGGACCGGGTGGAAACATAAACAGTGTGGTAGAGGACGAGAAGAAATTTGACGGAAAACTTGAATTCCAACATGCTACCGACAGTGTCACTTTGCTGCAAGAATTCAAGGAGAACTTCAAATGCTCACACCAAACTACAGAAACCCAAGAGACCGATTTCAAAAAAACCATTCTGACCCAAGTTTTCGAAGAAACAGTGGATGTTGTTCGATTGATCGAGAAAAAGGGCGACTGCCAGAAACTACACTGCAAAGACGAGTTATCATCAACTTTGAAAATGGTTGCAAAAGGGATTGGTCATTCGAGTCCACGCGACATCAGTAACGAAACTGAACAAACTACTGCCGGTCTTACGCAAAACGGATCTGATGTTTCCACTACTTTGGGACAACTTGTCTCAAGTAACGAGGAAGTCGATGTCTCGGCTCCTACTGTGGAGATATCGAGCCCTGAACATGCAAAAAAGATGTAAACAATAATAACCAAAACGTCGTTGATAAGTGACGTGGCATTACAGGAAGACAGTTATTTGCATAAATCGTGTTTGTGTGAAACGAAATAATAATTGAAAGGTGAGTAAATAAGATACGTGCTTGTGAGGATGAATACTACTGACAATTGTTATTCTAGTAAAAGCATACACCTGCTGATGAAATACCATAAAGATTAGATGACTGCAGTTACCCTCTGATAAACCAACGAATAAATTACATTGGAGTGGCAGGGTAGCTTTTCCTCTTCCGCTGTTTCCAGGTCAAATTGCAATGTGGAATGTTGGTTTCTATTCAACCCAGGAAGCAACAAGTCCACAGAAGCTGAACTTATCCACCAAACACCTCAAAGGTTTAGCATTATGACCGTTCTTCGAAGCTCAAAATGCAATACATTTAGCACACGTAACAACAGCTACCTCAAGCACCTTTAAAGCATTTTTATTCTATAAATTACCAGTCACTGATTAAAATAGACCTTGTCCTACATTTACTTCGACGAAATAAAGTGCGGAAATGCGATCAGTTACAAAACATTTGGCAAGCAGGTCGCTGGCATGGCGAGTGCGATTTCAAAAACGACTCTGCGTCTATTGTCTATCGCGAGTACCAAAGTTCACAAAACTAGGATCTTTTGCAACTTCCTCTACCATCTTTTTGTAAAGCTATTTTTCACGGAGGGTTGTTAAAGAACCAGGTTCTCAAGATAAGCAACGCCTTTTGGAATGATAGGCATTATTTTCTTACAAAAACCTTTGTTACTCCTACTTGATTGCGGAAAATAAATTATAATAAATAACTTTGGAATCGGTATCTAAAGATTACGTGTAAGGAACTACTGCAAACTATAAAGAGTCCTGTCCCGCGTTTGGTTCGACTTCATAACCAATACTATTAGCGAAAAAAAGTCTTTAAGTGTATATTGCAAAGTGTCTCACTCACTTCATTCTGAGCCGCTTGAAGCCGGCCGAGCTAAAAACGGCGGGGTCCTGGGAATAAGTGACGAGGGGGTCATTCTCCTTAGTCCCGCTGATTCCTTACCGTCGCTAGCCCGACTCCTCACTCGTCCCCACATATCCAGTGCCAAGATACTTCGTTTTCCTTAAGAGAAGGACCTACACCAAAATGGCGACCCTTTTAAGTAGAAGAAGAGACCGAGTTCTAGAGGTGAATTGCCGAGTCAAAATAACCCATATCGATGGAAAATAACTGATTAAACTTGAATTGCTCACAACTATAGAAGTTTATACGACTGGTGGTATAAAATCTTCATGTTCCCCTGCACTTTGTCTAACAAGTTGTAACTACTCGCATTCTCGCACTTTATACTGAACAAAAGAGTGGGTCTATAGTTAGGGGCTTAAGTTCCCGTCCTCTCTCGCACCACCGCCTGAAGTGCCCAGCGATCCCGGAAGAGCCTGTAGAGAATCAGGTAATTAAACGTCAGGAGGCCTGTGACTGAAAGAAGTTGGTGCCAAGAGTGGGACCTTGTTATCATAAACAGCTGGTATAAGACGAGTAACAACAGAACTGCTGCCATCCAGTTGATGAGTCGCAAAGGAGATTCGAACATGAACTGCAAAAAAGAGTTACTGCGTATCAGTATCGACGGAAAATAAGCTCGCAGCGAAGTTTCCACCGATCTCCATCCAATTTTTGTTTCTGCCAACAAAACGTTCACACGAAATAGGGATGGAAAGGAATTGGCTTCGAGTGAAGTGGCAAGCAGGGGGTGGAGGTAGGGGATTAGGAGTTACCCCCCTAGCTCTTTTTCTTCCCGCTTTCCCCTTGGCCCCCGTCCTCGACTAGGAAGCCTATTCACAGACTATTATGATGTTGACCGCGTTTTGAAATTCCAAAGAGCACCTTCACCGTTATCAATAGGCTGAAGGGTATGAGGGAATCCAGAATAAAAAAGGGAACAATGCGAACTATGGAACAAACTTCCATGTCTGTTATCGCATGCAACTCAGTCACATGAGCTCACCAGCCACTATTCAATGGATTAATTCAGAGACTGGATCGCCTTAAGTCTCATTTCTCGAAGATCGCACGAGGACCTTGAACGAACCAATCCCTCTGGCGAATTTTGCTCACGTGTGCATCCTATTGCTTCAGAAGAATTACCTTTGTAATAAGGGTTGAGAAGGCGACGCAATGTCTTCGATTACCCTTTTTCCGGCAACAAGTTGTTTTATGGGGGGTGAGGTGGGGCAGGGAAGTCATGTTACTGTGGAACTGATATTGGACCATTTTGGAAACAAAGAGCAATAATGTAAACGAATCAACCAGCACTGCTCCCTGACAGTTCTTCGGACGGGAGTCTACGCCTTTCGAAAATTATCCACGAGTGGGTTGAAATAAAGCCAGGCGTGCAGCAAACAGACTTGCTGAACAATTCTTAGAGTTTAAATACTTACGAAAAATCTCCCATGATGCGCGTCCCCTGGGATTGCAACATTCTGAATACCAAGTGCTCTGTATAAGAGTTTACCATGCCGTACCAGGACCCCCTGAGGCCATACTGTTAATGCTGACCATCTAGGGGGTGGTGACAAAAGAAAGCATTTATCAAGTCAGCGATTAACAAAGTCGTGAACTAACGGAAAGAAGAAGCTGAAGCTTAAAATTAGGTTCTTACTAATTTCCATATTTGCTAGTTTTGACTTTGAGCCCCCAAAAGTCCGTCAGGTAAACAGCAGGTTGAAGGTCGCATTTTTAAGAGCTGCTGTGTAAGTAACCATAGACCTACATTTCTACATAATGGAAAATCGCCTTTGTATATAATGAAACTTGGAAATAAACGTTCGGTAGGGTAGACACACACCAAATGGTTAAGAACAAAAGAAAAGGAAATCAGAATGGTTCAAGATTGAGAGGATTTGCAAGCATTAAAATGAGAACAATATCTTAAGCTAGATATATAACTTACACATGTGGAGTATCGCGGTGACCGCAGGGATATCTCTCCCATCCCCCAAGATGCAGTGCACACTTATGTAAGGCGTCGCAATAGTTCAGCGGTAACGTGAACATCATTAACATTAGAAGAGAGCTCAGCCAAACGAAAAGCGTGTGTTGACAGGCCCACCACATGTCGTAATACACATAATGTTGCTGAAAAAGACCAAGAACTGGCATAAATACATCAGAAAAATGATACCTTTTAAAATGCAATCGTCGATAAAGAGAATTTTGTTTTTCCTTTGTCTCGAGCGTGAAGAAAAAAGGCCGAGCCCCAGGCCTCCGAAATTCGCGGTTCCATCCTCTATTACTGAGATGCAGAGAATTCGCGTATTAGCCGGCTAGATAGATAGATAGATAGATAGATTGCCTTTATTTTAAAACGATGAGTGCTAAAGCTACATGAGCTTGTGGGGTCGTTTGCAATTAACTAATCACTAACTGTACTAAAAACTAAAACCTAGGGGTCCGTACAGAACGTCTAAACTTAAACCAGCGGTGCTTACGAATGTGGAATTGTAAACGTAAATTTAAATATATACAAAGTCATCTTTTTAAAAATTACATGTGGATGCAGACGTTATTTTAAAACTGAATTCAATAAAATTAACTGGAGATTTAAGCTTTAGCCTGAGGTAACGATATGAAATATTTTTTGTCAGGGCACCACAATTGTTGGTTACTGCATTCCACAGGACCGAGCCTCTAAACGCGACAGAGTCTTTCATGTAGCGCGTGTTGAAGCGTGGAACAATTAAGGAAGCGCAA